ATTATTATTATTATTATTATTATCATTATTATTATTATTATTATTATCATCGTCATTATTATAACTACTATTAAATTTCTTTCTTCATGCATTACCTGCGTGAATGATTGGAATGATTTTAGGTAAAACATTTTTTTAGGCATACTATGTGAATTTTCAATTTGCGTTTTTTTGCTTTATTAGTTTTATAATCAAAGCTTTTGAAATTACTGATTTTTTTTTCCTGAAATTTTTTGAAAAAAAAAATTGAAATTATAAATCTGTGTTTTTTTGAAATTTTCGAAATATAAAATTACAATTTTTGACAAATAATTTTGAAAAAAAATTCAAAAAAATGCACAAATTTGCGCTTCCCATTTAATTGTTATCACGAAGTTAATTATTCACTCTTCCATTAAGAATTTTTTTTTAATTTCCAATTCTCACCTAATTAATTAGTAATATTTCAAATATCGCAAAAATCATAAACTTAATGAATAAATTAGGCATTGTTATTATTATGGTAATATATCATAATGAGAATAATATTTAGCTTTATGCACTATATCATATAAAATTTTATCTTTTTTTTTTCTAATGCTTTATTATACTATTTAGGGCGTACACAGACACAACACACACACACACACATATGCACAACACACACACACATTCATGCATTCATACCTGGAAAGGATGGACATTTGAAATTTTTATTTCTTGCATTTAATCTTTTTCCCCTACTCATTCTCAATGCCTTCATTCATTCTTATTTTCAATTTTTTTCTTTCCTAATTTATTTCAGTTTGAATTTTACATTTATTTTTAAAATTTTTAAATTTTTACGCTTATTTATTTCAATTTTTTCAAAAATTTGTCAAACAATTAGAAATTGTATTAAATTTTAAATTAATTGAAATTTTCATTGTTATTATGTTGAAATTGGACCATTTTTATCCATTTCGTATTCCGGCTAAAATGATTAAAAATATGCATAATATTCGCATGCTAATGGATTATTTGTTAATTAGCAATTAAAAATTAAGGAAAGTTTTCAAAAGTATTTAATTTAAATGCTGGAAAAAAATGATATAATATTAGTGGAAAAAAAAAAGAAAGAAAAGAAAATGTATTCATTATTCATACATTTATTTTTTTACTAAACAATAATTTTCAATATAATGCTCGTCTTAATATTAGCCATTGCTGCTTAATAAGTAAATAAATGTGATGAACTTTGACCTTTCAAATAATTATTATTAAACAATTCATATTAAGGCATTTATCAAGTAATTAACGGTAATACAAACAATTTTTATCGTCCAAAAAGATTGGTGACATTACTGTAGTGTAATACAACAAATGTTAATAATCTTCTAATGATAAAAGTAAAAAGGAAGAGTTCTACATAATTTTTAATCTTTTAACTGATAAGATCAATTGATTTTTTTGATGGTTAAATAAAAATGTTGCAATAAAAAGTAGTAGTGGTAGTAGTTGTAGTGGTAACTGCTAGTAATTTTTAAAGTATGATAAAGTAATTCTAATTTAAATGGGATGACAATAACAGTAAAAAGTAGTAGTAGTAGTAGTAGTAACTGCTAGTAATTTTTAAAGTACAATAAAGTAATTCTAATTTAAATATGATATGACAATAAAAGTTCATTGCTATTATTTTAAAGAAATTGTTGAAATTTTACAAAAAACAAAAAAACAAAAAGAAAAAAACACACAAATATACAAATTTATTGCTAAAACTAAAAAAAAAAGAAAAAAAAAGCATGAAAAATATGTTGATATTATTTAAATTTATAGTAAAAAAAAAAAAGCAATTTTTTAAATTATAATAAAAATTTATTTTTCAGATATTTTGAATGGTCATTTGGGTGCAATCCTTACATTACTTTACGGTTTATCAGTGTATAAGCAGTATATTAAACAATCTGTACGAGCTACAACTTTAGCCACTGGTATGTTGTAATAATATTACGAGGATTCTTTTTTTTTTTTCTTTCTTCATCTTAAAAGATTTTATTATATTTTTAAAATATTACAAAAAAAGAAAAAAAATTTTTATTGAAATTTTTAGCGCTTTATTTATTTGTAATTAACTTTTATACTTCAATTATTTACATTTGTTTCTTTTCGTATTTAAATTAATGTTTAAATTTTAATGCCATATAATTGTTATTGTTATCAAAGAGAAAAAAAAAATTAATTTTGAAATTATCAGTAATAGTGTCACAATAATAATAAAAAAAAAAGGTTTAAAAATTATTTGCAAAAATTATTTGATTTAATTTCAAATTCTATGTAATATATATTTATTTTACATGTAAAATTATTTGTTTCCTATCAATTTTTCCCTTTATGTTATCATTAAATTATCAATAATTTATGTACCATAAAATAGAATTTATCCATCATTCCAATCAATTTTTGCTTTTTTCATCTTTTTAAACGAATTTTATATATTTGTTAATAGTAAAACTAAATTAAATAAGTAATTTGTTTTGGTAGCTTAATTGCTATTTACAAGCAGCTTATGTTGTTGATATGCTTAATGTTAGGACCATTTTGTTTTTTGCATTAATTAAATTTTTTAATTAATTATAATTTCAGCAACTGTGCAATCTTCTGAATCTTCCACTAACAGTTCGCAAGTAGCACAACTGAAAACGAAAAAAAGTAACACAGGAAGGAATTGCACAATACCAACAATGCCTCCTAGTAGCAAGTAAGTATTGAAAATTTTTTTTTTTTTTTAAATTTACAGTAACCTTTTTCCTAATATTTGATTTCATTTGTTAATAACAAGCTTTAAAAGTTTCAAACTTTTAAATAATAAAAATTTTAAACTTGTTATTTTTTCATGAATAATAAACGGACAACAATGACAATCATATGCATAAGTAAATTTTTCATTGTTTTATTTACAAAATATTAAAAATAAAATTTAGTAAACAAAAAGTAATTGAATATATATGTTATAAAGTTAGAAAAGAAAAAAAAGGAAGGAATTTTAGAAAAAAAATTAAAAAAAAAGGAATTTTAGAAGGAAAGGAATGATTTCTGAACGAAATTTGAAATTCAAATGAAAAAAAAAGAAAAAATTTAAAATAGGCGAAAGAAAGAGAAAAAAAAAGGACATGCAAAAATGGTCGATTTGTTTTTTTTTTTTTTCTCATCCAAATTTGCCACTATCAATCACTTTATGCTTATTAAATTTTCTTACTTTTTAGCCTGATGGCTTTTTACGTAAGCTTAAATGAAAATATCGTAGGATTTTGTTAAGAAATTTTAAAGCTTACAAATAAATTTTTGCTATTACTATAAACTTATGAAAAGAGTAAATTGATTTTAAAAAAATGATTTACCATTTCGTTTCTTGCTATCATTCACAGAGAGAGAGAGAGAGAGAGAGAAGAAAAAGAGAGAGAGATGACATGACACAGTTGACAAACATAGCCTTTTCTTTTATTCTTTTTTTAACAACAAATTCTTCCTCTTTC